TCTGTAGCAAAATGAAGTATGCGCCGTCGGGAACGGTGTATGACAGTCCCAGTTTATCCAGCGCTTCGCAGAGGATGGCACGGCGCTCGATGTACTCCTCGATCTGGGTGGAGAAGTATCTTTCTTTATTGGCGTCTTCAAAGCCCACTGCTGTGGCTTCTTGCAAGGGCGAGTTCACGGCTGTACGGATGAAGTATCATTACATCCACAGCACTCTACCCATGGAGAATTAGGTACAGAAATCCGGCTTCACGTACCATAGACAATTCGTGTGGTGGCAGCTAACGTGGGCTTTACGAGATGGGCTGGCCCGATGCACCAGCCTTCCCGAAAGAATAACGCGAGCCAGTCAGATCGGGTTTTCGATTCGTCATTCCTCCCCGCCATTCTCAAATGATCAAAAGATGGAACATGGCTTACCGATGCGCCAACCAGTGGCAGAGAACGATTTCCCTAAATTACCAAAGACAAGCCTCCATGAACACTCGGACTCCTTTTGTCGAAAGACAAGATGGTGTGAGAGCAGATATCTACCGCAGAACCAATCGTAAGGGTGCGACCCCAGAACTCATCCAGTGCCGCTATGCGAATATGTTCTTTATCGAACGTCAGGGATTCATACTTGAGCATATGACATATTAGAACACCCTGCAGTTATGGATAAGTGAATCATTTACGCACGACTTCATCGGCACAAATTAAAAGGTTGAATTCTTCCGCAACTTTCCCAATCGCGCGGAGCTCGTCAGCATCGAAGACCTTACCAATTCTGTATCATCGATGAGGAAATTCGAACACGAAGCCTCACATAAAGAGGCGGACTCACGGATTGTGCGGAGTATTTACGACGCTGCAACGATAAATATGAATATGAGGGCGCACCGGGGTGCTAAACATGGGGGGGGAAACTGACATCATTTTTGTCTTGGGGGTGATGGCCGCCCGTAGTTTACCGATATCAACCTTCCATTCGGAACTCGAGGAAACCGCCGTCTTTGCATTGGCAGGAGGCGTCATTGGGACGTACACGGGCACACCACCTTGGAAAGTCGTATTGCAGAGGTACTGTACGAACACGAGGTTAATATTATCGTTTCGAGGGCAAGATTGCAACACACTTGATCGAAAAACGGTTCGAATAAGATAACTTCGTCGTCCTGTTGCAGAAACGCCGCCTCGAATGCATACATGCCTTTCCGATTATATCATTTAGCATGGTAATACTGGAATGAAATCATCGCACGCACCCTCATTCGCCCCGGCAGTCACAACAATCTCATTCTCAGGGTCCAGTTGCCTACCAAAAGAAGCAGAAAAGAACTTTGCAAGAGCGTTGCGCAAACGAGCACGGCCCTTGGGCACAGAATAGTGGTTGGTTTCAACAATGTTGATGGCTTCCTCGACGGCTTTCAGAATGTAGTTGGGTGGCTTCCAGTTCATGAATCCTTGTCCAAGGTTGATAGAGTCCTAATCATTGGATCAGCGAGTCAGGAGAGCCTTGAAAAACCGCGGACGATCGGACTATCAACCTTGGGGACATGGCCACTGGAAGGACTGAAGACACTCCAAACCTAAGGCACTTTCTCGGATCAGCAAATTATTACGCCGAAAAAATTTTCCGGACTAACGTCTTGCTTTAGCACTTCTTCCTTGACCTTATCCGAGACTGGAAAGACGAAACGATTGTCTAGAGAGGACATCCAGGATGTGCACGTTCTTTGAGCGGACAGAGGTGGGTGTAAAATTATCTAATATTTTCCCTAAAGCCGCAAAAAAGTTTAGGGGCAATTTGGTATCCCTTTGACCAATACCATATCCGTTTACGATCTGGGATTGGATGACCACATGTTCTATCGTACGTGGTCGAATACACTGCACTGATTTTTTCAATCCTTCTGCCATCGCTCTGCAATATCACTCACGATGCCCAATTCCTGATATTTAAGGAAATTACTTGCTTGAGCATATTGTACTCTGTACAAAGGGATCCAGGCCAATAGGGTTCACGCTGGCGAAAGTGAGCAAAGTAGAGTAAAGTGAAATGAAGTGAGCGAAGTGGAAGCTTGCAAAGTGAAGCAAAGTGCACTTTGCTCATCTGTGAACGGCTCTAGAGTCGCACAATTCAAAAGTCGCATTTCACTCACTTTGATCTTAGTTTTGTTATCTGCGTGACACCTTTGAAAGCAAGTCATGTAAGTGAGCAGAAGTCGAGCAAAGTCCTCACTTTGCGGCACTTCGTCACTTCGTTATTCGCAGCATGAACATATATAAGCTGCTACAAATTGATTGTGGAATTGTGGTACACTAATTGTTGTGCCCTCTGAAAACTCTTCCCTCACTTTCTGCTGAATTTATTATTTCAAAACTGACCGGGAGCCAATCAAGGTTGTTTGTGATTGGTGGCAGAGGAACCATGTGATACAATTCAACGGAAACCCCCATTAGGCTCTCATTTATTCAAATTATTGAGAGGGCGCGCGACACGTAGAGAAAGGTTGGAGGACCATACCATGTCAATAACCACGGGTAGAGTGCTTTTTGAAGACGATGTCCCACACCCTCCTTCCAGAAGAACTTTGGGTTATTATGCCGCCCTCATCATCGTCGTCCTATATGGGCCATCACCCCTGCGTCCTGGATCTTTCTTGGTGTCGAAATATGGAGACATGGCGCACATGGAATCCATCGTGTTTCATCCCCCGCTGAAAAGGTTTTTACTGTCTGGGCCCTCCTAGAGGTTCGTCTATAACCGGATAGGTAGAATTTGCTTAGTGATCCTGCCTGACGCACTCCAGATTCTATTTTCGATATACCACCTTATTGTCGTTGCCCAGCTTTCGAGGAAAACTTCCAATATTGTCTTAACCTCCGTCGACAACGTCCGTCGATTATATTCCCGTATTCTCCATCTGGGCCTGCATAATGCCCCCGCAAATGGCGCATTGTCCCGAATCCCATCTCATGTGCCCCCCTCACAGCTGAGCATGGAAGATGTTCCGCTTCTCGATCGATCAGATCCACGAGCCGTCGATTTCCGACAGAGTCTCCGAAGCTGGTTTCGCAACTCTCCATGGTCCACTTTGACGCGTGCGCACGTGTCAACGTGGATCTCCTGGACAATTTTCAATGCTTCAGTTGATACCCTCTCGCTAGAGCAGAAGGGGGTAGTTTCACACGCCATTGATGTGATAGAACGACGCGCGGGCTCTAAACTCCCGTTAGAAGCGAACGATCCAACTTCAGCCCACATCAGGCCCCTTCTCCTGACCTTGGATCCGATGAGCATCCACTGTCGTCCTGCTATTATGTACGCCACCATCAATTTTGTTTCATTTGTATGCCAGGAATGGTACCAATGGCGATTCGGCGCACACCATGAACAATACGGTGACCTCGAGTACACCACTTCCATACACTTTGGTCTGCCAGCATATAATAACCATTCTATATCCAGATATCTTATCCGTGATCCAGTGACGACTGCGATTCCGGGGAAAGACAATGCGCCCATCCTGTTTTTGCATGGGCTGGGCATTGGGATCACTCAATACCACCTGGTCATCACCGAGCTCCTGTCCAATCCGGCGTTCAATTCTAGGGCGATCGTCATCGTCATCCAACCGCACATTACTCAATCCCTCTTCCACCCTCGTCACCTTAGTCCCCTAAACAGGGAGAAAACCGTCCGCGATCTTCGAGGCCTGATCTTGAAGACACTGAATAATAATAAAGCTAGTGCTCCTAAGACAGAAAGTTGTCGTCCTTAGTCATTCCTTGTACGTCGTCTCTGCTTTGATTTGGCTGAAAGGTTGGCTGATCATTTTGATGTTTGTAGCGGCTCCGTCCCTCATGCTTGGTTGCTCAAAGCCTATCCGGAACTTCTCGAGAGATCGTGCTTCGTTGATCCAGGTAGATGAATCTTCACTTCCTTTTTTCATCGCATATGTATGGTGTTACTTATGACCCCTCCCCACCCAGTTGTATTCTGTTTGTGGGAAGGAGGTTCGTGTTTATACCATGTTTGGAATTTGAGGACTTGACACTCCCTCATAATCAGATGTATGCTATAATTTCGTCTATAAGGCGCCGACGAATGTGCGTTATGTTTCTTGCGTTCTGAAGGCCCTGGCCATACTACTTACAATGGTATTGTTCACGTAGGCAATCGAAGTGCTCTCCCGATATTTGGTCGGATCTGAGCTTGGCATAGCCAATACTATTCAACGTAATTTCGACGTACGTAGCCTGGTTCTATTTATTTTGCTGGAGCTCAGACATAGTTTGACCGAGACGACCTTCCCAAGTGGTCTGCAAATACATTGTTCTTAGAAGAGATCCCGAATGCGCTCGACCCGTCCCGTACCATGTTCTTTCTCGGTGGGAAGGACGCTATAGTGGCATCCGACGTATGTCTCATTTTCTCTCATTCCTTCCTTGTATTTCCCTGACCCCTGAGTTGTATAGCGAGTGCGACGATATCTGATCGCGCACGGAGTGACCATGAAGGGCCTTCGCTACGATGAGAAACGCTGCACACGGGGGGCCTTGGAGGTCGGGGGTTCAGCCCTTGCGAGTATCATTGCTTGGCTGGAGAAATGATCTGGCTTTGAGACCCTATTATATTAGCTGCTAAGTTAGATTAGATTGTCGTCAAGCTACTGACAGCAATAATGAAGAACGCTTTGAGTGACGCTCCTGGTGCAGCTCTATATATAGTGACTACGATAATGTGAGAGCATCTGCGAGGCAGATTACGGTAGGTGTGAGAGGTGAATTGTCTCCTTTTGGGAGTAGAGTGTCCTGGGCGTTCTAAACATTATTCCCAATGGCGTTGTGTGTCTGATGTCCAATTCTCCTACTCTACATTTAAAGCCTGTAATTGCAAGAGGACGTAAGCTAAAAGACTATCCAGTCTTCCCACACGCAAGGAGCACTATCGAGGCCAATCATCGTGATGTCTTTTACATCCCTTAGACTTGCGGGCACGGGCCGAAAAAATTTACAGTATCGGTGAATTGAACACCGACCTCTTCCTCTATTCACATGGAAGGGAAGAATCCTAACCATTGGACCAATACTGTTACCGGTGGTATGATCGCCTGAGGCATTATTATTGTGAGATTACGACTCCCTTACCGGCTCGAGATTCACATCGGATGATCTCCTCATTCCTTTCCGGACAACCTTTACAAAAGCATGCTCTGAGAGTGAGAATATCTACTTGCGATCGTGGCTGATTTCTATCTATCTGTAATGTATCTATTCCCCGGTATGGATATCGTTTCATGACTGAAATTTAACTTGTTCATGCCTGAACAGTACTAGTGGCAGGTCTCTAGGGCCTTTGTGTGTTATCTCGTGTTAGATTTAGCGGAGCACATTTATCCGAATTGGCTAATTAGTTCTCAATCTGAGGATGAATCTCCTCCCCAGCGAACCCCAGCGTGCGTCGGATGCAACAACAATTACAGTCTGCGGCAAGACCCGAAGTGCAGGGTCTCATAAGACCACCACATTACTGCCTCTTCTTCAGCCTTCCGGACGCGTGCATTTGTCGTCCCAACGGCACTATCAATTGCACGACTCTCTTTGTCTGCTCCTTTCGCAACTGTACTCACAGGTTATTTGTCCTCATTTCAGTCTCCGTGTCCTAACTGTTAATGTAAGAGTTTCCTCTTATTCCATTCGATTTTACTTCGCAACGGTGCTCTGTTTTGGTTCTTTTAATATCTCTTTCTCTCTCTGCTTGTTGGCTGCGTTCCTGTATTGACATATTCCTATTCTGATTATCCAACGGATTCTGTGCTGTGTTTTGGACCCCGACTCTTATGTTTATGTCAACAAAGCAATATCCAAGTCAAAACTGACCGATATGGGAGAAGATGATGTCGACTTGTATGGTGAAGATTATGATGAGCAATATGATGAACAAGTGCGTTCCATCATATATCTTACCACGTTCGACAGCAAGTCTCACGGCCGGCAATGATCCTAGTCGTCCAACATTCCTGTAGCTCAGGGTGGGCATGAACCAAGTGTCGGTGAAAAAAGGCAGAGGCCGGAGAGCCCAGGACATGAACAAGACCAATATGATGCGAATGTACGCTACTACTGCTTTGCCTGCTGCTTCTTCTTGTATATCGTGCGGCTGTACTCAGTATTCTGTAACTCTGACCATGTAATTCCCTCCTTCCCATCTCGTCCGTATCCGCTTCTGCTGTATACAGGGCCAAGGTCAATCTCTATCTTCTGGCCCGAGGAACCCTCCCGTGGGCATGATGAACCAAAGCCAGACGCAGCAGCAAAGTTCCAGTGCTGCTGGGTATGCATCGCAATCACTGTCTGGAAACAACAGCTTACCCGCCGGTCCTGCTGGTCCACGCAATGTAAACGATGACGCCCTCTTTATCGGCGAAATGCCATGGGTCAGAGACTTGGGTTGTTATAAAATGACTTGGTTTGGTTTTTTCTCACGACTTTTTACACCCCCTACAACGATATGTAGTGGGCGACAGATGAAGATTTACGGCAGGTCGCAGCCGAAGTAGGCGTTCATATCGAATTGAAGGATATCACGTTCTCTGAGCACAAGGTTAATGGCAAAAGCAAAGGGTAGATTATCTCCATCGCTTCATAACTTCCAGTGCACCCTCTAATCCTTCGACATTCGTTCGCATGCAGTCTAGCCTATGTGGAATGCGGTAGCAACGAAAATGCTGCCCGTGTCAAGGCATGGTTTGACGAAAAGTAAGTTTCCAGCCCTCGGTTGCTTTCTTGGCCCACTGAATTTGAGCGGTGTCGGAACCTCCTTGTTCGCAGTGAAATTCACAATCGCAAAGCGCACGTAACATTTACGCAATCCGCCAATGGAAACCCATTCCGAACTCTACCTAAAGGCGAGTATCCCAGAATCTATCTAGATCGAACGGATGAACGGCTATTGATATTTGCCTTGGCTCAATCTTAGACCCCCCACCACGCGCTGGAGGAACACGCCCAAATAATTCTGGCGGGCGTGGTGGATTCCAGAATGCCAGTGGTCCTGCGCCAACGATGCGCAGTGGCGGTGGCGGTGGCGGTGGAGTAGGGGCGAATCCAATGATGATGAATCCAGCTGCGATGGGCAATCCGATGATGGGCGTCGGGGTTCCACTTCCTCTGTCGGGCGGGACAATGATGGGAGGCATGAACCCATGATGGGCGGTATGAATTTTCGAGGGAACGCACCGATGGGTCCGGCCAGCATGATGGGTGGCGGTGGTCGTGGGTTCAATTCTATGGGCCAGATGCGCGGGGGTGCTACTGGGTTCATGGGCGGGAGGACAGATGGGTCGGGGGATGATGGGTAGTCAGGGTGGGTTTGGCGGGCCAGCTTCGGGGCATTTCAATCCTGCGTTTATGGGGAATATGGGGATGGGTGGACCCCCTCCCTCTGCTCCCGATGGACCCAAGGCAGCCAAGCGAACTCGACTCGATGGATCGTAGCCACTTGCAGGCGGTAGATTTTTCAGAGAGGAAAATTTATCTTCTTTCTTGTAACGTTCGTATTGTCTCCATCGTTTCGAATACCGATGAAACTCTCACGTCCCGGAAATTGCCCCTGACCGTCAAAACGGGAATGATGATCGTCTTCAGTATGAGTTCAGGTCACCTTAGCGATCTTCACTTGGTAGACCTCTCATCTTTATACCCCTTCTTGCCCTACTCTGGGCACCTTGATCGTCTCTGATTTCTTGGCATCTACTACCAATAATCGGGTGAGCACCAGATGTGCATCTGTGTGACCTAGGTTCCAAAGGAGCTCAAGTATGCGACCTTTCATTGTTGTGATGGAAAGATATCGAGAAATCCGGGACGATCGTTCTTCAGGACCTCACCTATTGCGATGTCGTACAGTCCTCGCGCACCATCTGGCCCAAGATTTTCATCGCCTCATTCTCCGAGGCATTCTCGACTCGCCAGTCTATCCAGAGACAGATGGATTGAAATCTAGCCCGCTGGCAGCGTCTGAAACCCAGCCACCGAGTCGCAAAGTCAATAACAGTGTTGATATTGGACTGTCACGCAACGCTCGCAAGGGGTCTATTTCCTATAAACAAGGAGACTTGCGCGACGTCCCAGAGCACAGTAACACCCAGGAGACGAGATCTCCTGCCCCCAGATGGCTTGTTATTGTCATTCCCACCTCCCTTTTAGATCTGGACACCGTCAATCCGAGCTTGTCACATTCTGATACCCCAAGACGAACGTCTTCTGGTGTCCTTGTGCCCCTCCTTCCAACGGTGAGCATAGCCCTGCTCCGCGGCATAATCGTGCAGCCTAAGACTACCTGGTCAATATTAATCCCTCGATAAACCTAGCTGTACCTGCAATTAGTTGCCATAGCGCGTGAATTCAGCTTGCCCAGCACTGCAGGCTTGCGCACATACCTTCGAGTCCCCGATCCTGCGTACAATAGTCGATCTAATCCTGGCCCTCGAATTATGGACGGCGTTTGGCCCCTGCTCTGGCGCCAGTTCCTCGGATCACCAGATGAGCATACCATGAATTCGAACCATCTACTGCCAATTGCAGGAAGGATAGAGCTCGATGTCGATTTGCGTGTTGCAAGATGGTACAGTGCATGGGCCCGGGCTCACGGGAAACTAACAACGAAATCCGATGCTTTCGCAAGTTTCAGCTATCCACCACGGGGGGATATTCGTACTCCGCCCCCGGGCACCGGTGATGATGCACCAGGGGAAGGGGAAACCCAGGTCCACCCTATCCACCGCTCTCCACGACCACATTTGCGACAACTTTCTCTCCTCGAACGACGGGCTCGCAAACTGTCGTCGCTCTCATCAATCTGTCGTGCTGTGGTAGGATGCGATCAGCCCAGTGCCCCTGTTCTGCGTGATATAGAACCCACGTCTCTTGAATCAGACAGCCTAGTTGTGCCGCTTCCACCTGACTGTCAACGCGAAGGTGTTGAGCTGGAGACAAAAAACCCCAACCAGTGTCGAGGCCCCTAAGCATGAAACTCATCCCCTTCCCACGATGATAGTCCCATCACCCCCAGCGCTGGACTTGGACGATTTCCCATGGTCTACCTCATCTGCCAGTCCCGCTGCTCATCGACCGTGCCAATGTGCTCTTGGCCTCCCCTTCCCGCTCTGTGCACATTGCCGATCGAGTGGCTGGTTCAGTTGGACTGACACCGACTAGTGCAACGTCATTTGGGCCTTGGCGATCTGGGCTAGTCTCGCCAGTATGCAGCTTTGCATCTCGCCGTCCATCGCCAGACATTGCGAAACGTGTAATGGAGGATCCACCGTATACGCCCGTGGCGGCTGCCTCCTGGGCTTTGCCTAATAATGACTCTGAGGATGTACCACCACCAAGTCCTCTGCTCCGCACTCCTGATATCGGGGAACGGATGACCAGCCCAACAATGGGGCCACATTCCAAGCGTACGTCCTATTTGCCCATGTATGGCCTTACCACCAAAGTCTTGTATCTCTTGCTTCTTCAGATGAGGTTACTTTACGAGTTGGATCTTTCAGGCGAGCAGCAGGACTGAATGCCAAGAACCCCATCCGTTTCCCCCCATGCGTGGCCCTCTCCGTGAGCTTGTGCTTCTTCGCTTTGTTCAAGCCAGTCAATCTATCCCGTAGATTTGGGAGGCGAAGTGCCCAGAAGCCAACGCAACGTGGTTCCAGTGTTCGGTCAAATCAGTAAGACTGAGTACCGATCTTTTTGAAACATCGTAATCATATTTATTGACTAATCTAGGCTCCCGGCCACAGTAATTGGACGCTACCCTGTCATGTCCACCATGGACTATCCCGACTTGATCATCTGTACGCGAACTTCTCATCTTGGAATCAAATCATTACCTGAACTCTCTGTGGCCTTTTAGATCCTCCTGTCCATCCATTCTTAGAGATTTGTAGGTTTCTATCAAATTTTGCTTTCAGTTTCAAATTCCTCATTGTCCAGTCAATATCATCAGATCCCGCCAAGACAGCTACAATTCCCAATACGGTAGAGAAGCCAGCCGATACTTTCCAGGATGTTGATGGCACAGTGATTCAAGGAC